TGTCATACATACATACATACAGAGAGTGTGTCATACCTACATACATACATAAATACAGAGAGTGTGTGTCATACATACATACATACAGAGAGTGTGTGTCATACATACATACATACAGAGAGTGTGTGTCATGCATACATACATACAGAGAGTGTGTGTCATGCATACATACATACAGAGAGTGTGTGTTTCCTCCAATCTCACACCCCTTCTCTCTTAATACTGGTACACGCCTACATATTCGTTTACGCATCCTTCGCAATATACACACAACTCGTGCCTGTGTCTTCTCCATTCTGACGCCTATCTCTCCCGTGTGTTCGTGTGGTGCAGTGGTTCTGGTCAACCATGCTGAATGCCGTATGGGCCTCATTGGCTATTTTCTTCACAACGTACCTGACCTATCGCGATACGGAAATAGGGATCTGGGAGTTCGGTACAATCATGAACACAGCCATGGTGGTTGTTGTCAACGTACAGGTGGGCTGTGCTTGTAACCTGATGTGTTTTGTGTACAGTTAAAAAGACACTGGTGTAGTCTGCAATTGGGGTCTGCAACACAATTGCATATAGTATGTAGTTATCACAATTGCATATAGTATGTAGTTATCACAATTGCATATAGTATGTAGTTAACACAATTGCATATAGTAGGTAGTTAACATAATTGCATATAGTATGTAGTTGTAGTGTACAACGTTCAGGTAAAAGCAGTCAGAGTTGTGTTTAAATGTTGCCGACTCTTATGTAGACATTATTGGAATTTAGGGGAACTCGTATCAGCTTTGTTGGGAGATACAAGGGATGTGTAGGTAGGATACCAGGGATACTGAGACTTCGAATCCATGTTCTGTTGCCACTCTGCCTTCCACACTCCATGTTTCATGCCATACTGCCAATCTACCCCGCAAACACCCCTTCGACTCTACATACAACCCCTCCCATCAACCAAACAGCCAGTCCTATCTACTACCTACTAATGCACCCATCTCATCTCTAATGCATACCTCACACAGTTGGCGATGGTGTCCAAGAACATCACGTGGCTCAATGGGCTGGTGCTGGTGGGGTCTGTGCTGGCCATGTTTGTCTTCATGTTTGTGTTTGCCGTTGTACCCACTGAGCTTTACTACGTCGCCTTTGTCACGGTGAGGTAAGTCTTGCGGCCGTGTGCCTCTATGGACTCTGTATGGCGCTGTGGTCTGTAGTAGAACAGTGTACTTCTATATCTGTAGTAGAACAGTGTACTTCTATATATATATTAGAACAGTGTACTTCTATATATGTAGTAGAACAGTGCACTTCTATATATATATTAGAACAGTGTACTTCTATATATGTAGTAGAACAGTGTACTTCTATATCTATATTAGAACAGTGTACTTCTATATCTATATTAGAACAGGGTACTTCTATACCTGTAGTAGAACAGTGTACTTCTATACCTATATTAGAACAGTGTACTTTTATATCTATATTAAAACAGTGTACTTCTATATCTATATTAGAACAGTGGACTTCTATATCTGTAGTAGAACAGTGTACTTCTATATCTGTATTAGTAAAGTGCACTTCTATATCTGTAGTAGAACAGTGTACTTCTATATCTGTAGTAGAACAATGTACTTCTATATCTGTAGTAAAACAGTGTACTTCTATATCTGTATTAGAACAGTGTACTTCTATATCTGTATTAGAACAGTGTGCTTCTTTCTTGACCCGTGTGATGCTCGCTTTCATGTGCCCACAACACACAAGTCCATTTACTGCTGCACCTGCATCGGTGCTATTGAATATCAATTAACCACACCTCGCTCACTCACTCACTCGCCCTCACTCACACACACACACTCTCTCTCTCTCTCTCTCTCTCTCTTGTATACCACTTCCCGGCCCATTCAACGGTGTGCAGTGACTGTCGCTACTGGTTCATAGTTTTGCTGGCCAGTTGGCTGGCGCTGTTCCCTCAATTGGTGGGTCAGTATCTGTGGCAGAACGAGCTATCCGGGCCACTGGACAGACTCCGTGCTAAGGTATGCGATGTTTCTATAAATGGATGCTGCATCCATATTCTATAAATGAATACTGCATCCATATTCTATAAATAGATACTGCATCCATATTCTATAAATAGATACTGCATCCATAAAACACTGCATGGAAGAGTTTGTTCAATGAATCGATGCTGTATGCCTAAGATGTATTGCAGGAAGAGATTTGCGGAGTACATCTGATCGTTGTGCATTGCACATATGAATAAATCCGTCAGTGCACAGTGCTACGCTGACTGACATTGCTAGATGTATGAGCGTGTCTTAGTCTTCTAGTCTAACGAGAAATAATGATTTCGCGTCAACAATCTCCCACATCCAGTCACTCATGTATTGTCCAACCAATCACTTGTATATGATGTTAATCCAATTACTCGTATATGATTTCATCTAGTCACTGCTATGTATATAATGTTCATCGAGTCACTCATGTATTGTCCAGCCAATCCCTTGTCTATGATGTTCATCCTATCACAAACGTATAACAATGCAGGAACGCACTGAGCACGAGACTCGCCATGATAAGGAGCGCTTCCAGAACGCCGTTGCTAGGGAGCCTCTGCCCATGGCAACCATCGACCAATCAGAGAAGAAGGTAAGCTATGGATGTTCCATAGGTCATATGACTGTACATACAATCACTGCCCAATTTGTTGTGTAGGAATCATTAAGCATTCGAGGCTGTCATCGAGCTATTTGTGAATCTGTTAAGTATGACCTTTGGCGGGAGAGTATCAACCTTTGTACACAGCTTGGTACATAGCTTTGCCTCACCCGGATCTCTTGCTGATTAACCTATCGCACCAATACAATACCATCCACACCACAAACTACTTCAGCTGTCAGTCTTATACGAGACATCCTTTGTCCAAACTAAAACCATAAAAACCATAAAACTTCATTCCCGTTGCTATCGCTCATAAACTCTCCTATACATCCGCTGCATCATACAGAAGGAGGTATATGGAGCTGAGTACCCCGCCTATAGCCGCACCCCCAGCGCATTGATGAGTGTCCCCATAACACTGAGCAGCACATCTCTGGCCTCTAACGGTGGGGTCTAGGGGACTCCGAGGAAACAGCAACAACACATACCACACACTACATCGCGAGCGTTTCTGACACAGACTGCTCAGTGACTGCTATATAGCCTTGTCCCTCCCCACCACCCCCTCCATAGCCCAATCTCCCTTCCATCTACCCCTTTATTCACCTGTTGCCCTAGGGTTTGTGATGCAGAGATGCAACAGAACGACTCGCCACATGGATGCATACACGTGTAGCTATCTCTCTCTCTCTCTCTCTCTCTCTCTCTCTCTCTCTCTCTCCCACTTCCCGCTAGAGTATACGTGTCTGCGTGTGCACGTGACCGGTTCAGTGAACGTTCATGTGCGAGTAAGAAGGGCTGTGTGTGTATATAACGAGTGATGTGAATACACAAGCCCACGTATATAGAGACCGTCGTACACAGCTCACGTATACTCTGAACTGCATGATGCGCTGTGGGGCGATGCCTGGTATGGGTAGTGGTGCCACCTGGGGAAGTGCACACACTCGCAATAGCAGATTATGATGAATCTGCTAGCGAAGGCATTCGGCCTACATGTTACAGTTTATAAATCGCTTAAAGTTTAATGCCTATGATAAACAAAAGCCCGTTTTAAATCGTTGGTTTATAAATGAATGTAAAAAGGTGCAACATACAGTTTATAAATCACATACAGTTTATAAATCGCTTTAGTTTAATGCTTAAAATAAACAAATGCCCGTTTTAAATCGTTGACGTGTCATAAATATAATCAGGTGTAACATATAAACAGTTATAATTCGCTTCAAATTTAATACCTAAAATAGATAAAAGGCCGTTTTAAATCGTAGAGGTGTACTGAATATAATGTGTTTAATACTAACAGTTTATAAACCACCTTCAGTTTAATACCTAAAAATAAATAAAAGGCCGTTTTGAACCGCTGAGGTGTAATGAATTTAATAAAGTGGGTAGTCTGTTTGGCTATCTCCCATATGCTGTACCTGTCAGGACTCATGCACTGTCGTAGTCTGACTGTTGTGTATTCGTTTATATGCATATATACCTACCTGTGCACGTACCTGTACACGGACAAACAAATCATCACTACTAACCTGCACGTGAGGCCGATTCGCGATACGCTACTCAACGAGGACTACAGCCACAAAAGCATGTTAAACATTCCACTGATATAGTGAAGGCCCCAGTGTTCACTTTGGTCAGAGTTGGGGCCGATGTCTCTACTCCGATATCATTAAAGAGTACCAGGGTAATTATACAACAAATTATACACGCGCATACATGCACATACAGACTTTCTTTAACGAGAGCTGACAGTATAGACCCACACCTGAGCTACGTGCCTTGTATGCTATTCCTCATTTCCCATCCGTATTCAGGCGGTCGTAAGTTGTGGAACTATTGCATTATATACTGTTGTTGTTATATGGTCCGTGTTTAGTCTGTATTTCACCCCCCCCCCATCCGAGTGGTTTTAGGGTATAGAGTTTAGGGTTTTAGGGTCAATCGGGGTGCACTCCCCGTCCACCCCCCAGAGAGCCATCTCTAGCTATAGTTAAGCGAGCTGTCTAGCACGCTCGTGTGCACTGTCTGCACCACTCGTGGTGTAGTGCGACGCTGTCCTTTAAAGGTTCAGAGTACGGGACATCTGCGGTACCAAAGTCAGTCCTTTTGCGAAAGTGTCGGAAGAAGTTATACTCAATCACGATCGCAGAAAAGAAAAAAAGAAAGAACATTTATAGAGCACAGACTAGTTTATTTTTTATTTTGCGGAAGACCGATGCATTCCATGAGTGTCAGCATGTAGCCAGTACTGCCCTGAAAGAGAACCTGCACCCAATTCCCAAGCCCTGGACTGACACGGCCTGCGCACCTTTAAAATAATTAGGACCAGCTTGTAGGAACACAGGCGCACTATTGTGTCTTCTTTTCTGCGTCCTTAGCCGCCACCTCCGGTGCTTTAGCATTCCAGAAATAGATGAGCTACGGCAAAAGGAGTGAGGGATGCAGATTAATGTCCGTACAAATAGAGGTTATATAAGCCAACATCACAAATTGCGTGTGATCTCTTTGAAGGAATGGTAGGAACGCCGCACCTGGCTGGTCAGTTTGCACACATCCAACCTTTGCTATCATATGACTATGTCCGATCTCCGAACGCTTTACGCCAAATACAAACACTATTGGAGAGGCAGTTTGATAGTTTTATGAGATCACACTCTGCGGCCGGATGATAAAGTCCCACAAAATTCATACTGGCGCTGGAACATGTATAGTGCACACAGTCGCTACTATCGACCATCCAATATTATTCAGCCGCAATATGCATATACATACAGATCAACAAGCAAACACGAAGTACAGAAGGGCATGCGTGAACGTGTGTAAAGATCTTGGATCGCACATGGTAAGCATGTAATACAGGAATAGATGTTCATGCCCATATGCACGCGATGAATACGGGTCAAGAAGCCTACGTCCACAAACCAATGCTCCTGCACGCACAATCGCAATGCGCTGGTAACCAACCCATACCCATACTCAGTGCATTTGAGTCACTACTGAACCCACCTGCAGCAGTATTACGCCGTTCAATAGACTCGCTGCGCCGAAGGCAAACAGCATGTCCGTGTCATCAGGCATCTCGTGAATGGTGGTGAACACTCGCGCAACACTGCCGCCAAACTGAAGCGCCACAGTGGCGAACGACAGATTCTGTGCGTGGCCCGCACTCTGGATGGCCGCAATCTATAAATAGAATCAGAAGGTATATAAATAGAATGAGTAAGGTCAGATCGTGCTTAGCTGTACGGTCCTGCCACTGAATTAAAGTATCCTGATTGAATCCGAACGATTGTATGAGTGGGCTGCCCTAAATATGATCACAATCTATGAGTAGATCAAAAGATATGTAAAAAGACGGAGCCATACCAGAACAGTTGATAGAGTGCAGCTCAGACACTGCCCTGACGAGGCACAGTGGCGTACGAGCGATTTGGTACATGGGCCGCACACTCTACTGCCGCGTCCCAGAGACACAATCGAAGTCATTGAATGTTTTGTTAACATCCGCTTGTAGCTGCTTCTTAACTATTTCACATCCGTTCGGCCTTGCTTGTACATACAAAGAACGATAGCTCCTAGAAACGATGTGACACGATCTAAATAAATAAAAATATATCTACAGATACTTCGTGGAAGTGTCTTTAACATCCAGGTGGCCCCTTACCCTCAAGCTATCACTCGGCGCAAGCAGGCATACACAATGCAAGCTCACATACGCATACGACTCAGTCTACACACGCACCTGGATACCACGTGCAGCGACGGTCAGCATAGTCCCACCGGCGAACGCAATGGACAGATACTCGCTGGTGAACGCCTGCTCGTCTTGCATTACAAACAACATGCCAGCGTACGCTACAAACATGACTGTGCCTGGCAGCATGTTACCTTTGCCGTACACCATCACCAACACCATCAGCACGATGTTCTGGAACGTCAGGTTGAGTGTCTCGGCCCACGCGCTGAGGGATCAGGTGTTTGGGACAGTGGAAGATCGTTCAGTATGGACAAGGAGGTAGAGTGGAAGATGGAACTCGAGAGCCGATCTCTTTCTTTATTGGTTGAAGCAACTAGTTGTAAGCAAGACACTGCATACATAATCAAATATATAGTTGCTTGTATGTGCATTGTAAGCAAGACACTGCATACACCATCAAATATATAGTTGCTTGTATGTGCATGACTATATACAAGGCGAGAGCGACTTAAAGACGTGAACTATACGTGACTTACAACCAGATATGCCAATAGTTGAGACATGCCGCACACACCTCAAAACAACAAGGTATCTACAAATATATATATATATATATATATATATATTATCAGATCAGAATACACATACATACATGCGTTTTAATGCATGGACATACAAGTCTCATCAGTACATACATCCACATACGCAATCAGGTCATGATATACAACATCTACATCAGCATTCTCATTATATTGTGTCACGTTACAATTACAAGTGACTAACATCATCATGCACATGCGCGTATGCATTTGAGACGTGCCACACACTACTCACATCAGCGGGTTGTTGTGGCGGAGATTGTGGACCACACTGACAGAGTAGTTGATCACCTCCAAGAACAGTGCAAGCATCGATATACCCTCGGCACTCTTATTGCTTACGATCTTCATCATCTGCGGTACCTTCACTGCGGGTTGCGCACAGAGTACGCTTTTATTAGCATAAGTATGTCCGCATGTATATGATGTACACATGCATACAAATATG